TTCACTTCAACAGACTGATCCACCTTCAATTCCTGTTATTGATCTATTCCCTTCTGGTGAATTTCCTCAAGGTGAAATCCAACACTACAAGGATGAGTGAGTTCACATACTTTTGCTTTATGTCGAAATCAGAATTGTCGCAAAATCGACAGTGAAAATGTTATGTAGCTGAGTCTAATTTGTAATGTAGTAATCTGTGGAGAACAACATCTGAAGAGAAGAGAGAGATGGAACGGCTTCAAAAGCCGATATATAACTCTCTTCGACAAGCAGCAGAAGTTCATCGTCAAGTTAGGAAGTATATGAGAAGCATAATGAAGCCTGGAATGTTGATGATTGATCTCGTTGAGACCTTAGAGAACAATGTCCGTAAATTGATATCAGAGAATGGTCTTCAAGCTGGTATCGCCTTCCCTACAGGATGTTCTTTGAATAAGTTAGTTCTTCTCTCTGCATTTCTTTGATTTGTTTGTTCTATCAACGCGTCTAAAACAATTACTTGAACCTTCAGTGTCGCTGCTCATTGGACTCCAAACTCTGGAGATAAGACTGTTCTTCAGTATGATGATGTGATGAAACTGGATTTTGGAACCCATATTGATGGTATGATAAAACTATACCTTCTTATTGGTATTGGTTTTGATGGAAAATGTCACATGAAAACAATAATTTTCTGTTTTGCAGGGTACATTGTTGATTCTGCCTTTACAGTTTCATTCAATCCTATGTTTGATCCTCTCTTAGCAGCCTCTCGCGAAGCAACATATACTGGTATCAAGGTACTCTTCTGTTGCTTATAATTTTTGCTTCTGCCTCTAAGAATACTTGTAGGATTCTTCAGTATTACTATATGATGAATACAGCAATTCTGCAGTGAATTTTTGGAAGTTTGATCTTTATCGATCAAGTCCAAGTGAATTTTGAGCTTTCTAAGTCATATAAGCTCACTGAGCAAACAATCAAGTAAAGTTATTTAGTTGAGGCTTTTGATTTGTGGCAAGTAATAGAACTGTCTTTATTTGTTGGTCCAGGAAGCTGGGATTGATGTCCGGCTTTGTGATGTCGGTGCTGCGATTCAGGAGGTCATGGAGTCTTATGAGGTTGAGATCAATGGAAAAGTATACCAAGGTAACTTCTGTGTTAATTACATCAATGGCAACATTATTTGCTAGTTTCTAATTGTATTATCAAAAAACTTTAACAATTTCATGTCTTTTGTGGGCAGTCAAAAGTATAAGAAACCTGAATGGGCACAGCATCGGAAGATATCAGATACACGCTGAAAAATCCGTTCCTAACGTTAAAGGAGGCGAGCAGACAAAGATGGAAGAGGGTGAATTATATGCCATAGAAACTTTTGGATCAACCGGTAAGATATGGCAATGCACCAAGTGTATTTTGAGATATGTAGAACCAAATTTAACCGGGATTGTTTCGCGTGTCATTTTGCAGGGAAAGGATATGTGAGAGACGACTTAGAATGTAGCCATTACATGAAAAACTTCGATGTGGGTCATGTACCTTTGAGGTTACCAAGAGCAAAACAACTCCTTGCCACAATTAACAAGAATTTCTCCACTCTAGCCTTCTGCAGACGCTATTTGGACCGCTTAGGTGAAACCAAATACTTAATGGCTTTAAAGAATCTGTGTGATTCTGGCATAATTGAGGTAAACTTCTAAATGACTATATCGTCTGAATTCACTCTGTTAATGAACATTTTGATGGAAAGTTTGTTTCTTTGTAGCCATGTCCTCCAGTGTGTGATGTGAAAGGAAGCTATATTTCTCAGTTTGAGCATACGATCTTGTTGCGTCCAACTTGCAAAGAGATTATATCAAAAGGAGACGATTATTGAAGTGACGATTTTACTAAAGGTTTTTGCTTCTAGCAAATGTAACTTTTGTACTCAAACTTAGAATTTTCTTTGAACATACTTTAGTATTGAACTAAATAAATAGACGAATATGGATGTTGTTTAAGATCTAATAATACAATTGGTCGTTTGCTTATAGTAGTTCAAAAAATTAAGAATATAAGTAAAATGAATTGAATTGTGAGTGTACCAAGTCAATAACAAAAGAAGAAAAGTTACTAAAAGAAGAGCCTTTTTATCATTTTGTAGCAGAAGGGAAACTCAGTTACTAACAAGTAAAAAGACTCTTCTTGTCCTAATAATGCTACTCTGTTTTTTTGTAGTTTTCCTCTCTACTATCAAGTCAATTTTCTTGAAAATGATAACTAAAAATTTGATGTTTGATTTGTAATAATTCATGGGAGCTATTTTTCGATTAACCCATATATAAGAAAATAATGAAAAAAGGTCATTTTAGGGCTCTCTCTCTCTTGAAAGAGTGAAAACACAGAAGGAGAAGAAAAAGAGGAGTTTTCTTCATGAGATGCCTAAAAACAGAGGATTTGGTAGCATTCAACGAGACCAGGAGAAGACAAGCTTCTTCAAGATTCTTGCATATGAAGATCTATCATCTGAATCCATGGTAGTCATGTTCTTAACCTCATCATCTCCATTTAAAGAATATATGTTTTTCCTTGTCTGAAATGTTGAAAGGTGGAATCTTTGGTCTTCTATGTTTGATGGGTCTACTTGGAACATAGATCTTTCTTCTTGAGTACATTTTTCTCTGTTCTGTACTGATTGCTTTCTGCTTCTAGATTAGGGCAAAAGATTGAAACTTTGGATTTCTGACCTAAATGCTTGATGACATGTGAAAACTTGTACTGCTTTTTGCCTCTAAAATGAACAATGTATCTTCTGTTTTGAGTTCCTGGTTTATACAGTTATTAAAGATTGAAGCTTTAGCTTTTAAATGCCATGTTTCTCATTTCAATATCTTCATTTTGTATGTTTTTTGTGTCCAAAGAGGTTGATTCCACACAAGTTCAAGAGAAGTGTATGCAAGAATCTCCCTCCTAAGGTGATCTTGAAGGTGGTTTGGGGAAGATCTTGGACGGTGAATCTCTCAAACTTCAGGGGATCTTACCTTATGGAGAAAAATGGATGGGAGAAGTTTCTAAACGACAATCATTTAGGAAACTGTGAGTTTCTTACCTTCACAAATGAAGGAAACAATTGCTTAAGCGTTAGCATCTTCGAAAAGAATTCTATAGAGATTCTCACGCCACGAAAAACTACAATCATCGCTTCTTCTTCTTCCTCGAGTAAGTTCTCGTGTAGTTATATATAATACATTTGGATTTACGGATTGACTGATATTTTATTCGTTTGATCTTTCGATGTGGAAAGAAGAGACGAGCTGTGTTGGTCCGGTAATTGCTGAATGTACTAGAAAAGGAGCAAAGCAAAAGGAAAGAACCGAGGAAGAAGAGGCGCAGAAGAAAGCGGGTAGTAATGTCTATGAAG